TAGGATTGATAGGGTTGGGGTACACATGCCTAACCCTAACTGCTTGTACCCCATATAGCATGACCCACAACAGGGTATAACATTTGACATTGAGGTCAAGGGCCCACCATTATTACTCAAGCGAACCTTCCCAAGATGATCCTAGGGTCGATCATTCTCTGATCGTAACAGATTGTAAGGATTTTTCTCTATATTCCTTTCTGCGACCGTCAACATCGCGTACTGCAACACCTGTTGTTCGCCTGTTACTGCTAACGGGGCTTCGCCAACTTCGCGCGCACTGTTTTACGTACCAAATCATGCATTGTTTCCCTTGCCGAGTCGGCCTACGCTCCGGGACTAGCCCGGACCTCGATGCCAGCCTAGCACTAGCTAGCTTGCACGCACCGCGTTACAGTTTGCATGTTTCGTGTATAAGTATTCGCTTATGCCTTCGCTCTTATTTTGTACTCGTTTGACATCTAGTGCAATCCTCGCTATCTCGTTCCATTGCACCCGTAACAATGATATAGAAGTGATATTGGGCCCTCCAGGTTATATAATTCTACACTTCCCCTTCCACTACTGCGTCTGATTCTGGAGGTTCTTCACACACTTCCGTTGGGGGGAAAGGGCGTGCACCAAAATGCCACGTGGATTACGCTTTTGCTGAGGCCGGCGTCACTTTACATCGATCGATCACTCCGTTCGATGATATGGAAAATCCGACCGCTATACGCGTTTCACTCATGCGCTCTCGGCGTCCTAGCTGGCATGCGTTTCGATACTAACTAAAGATGCCTTTATTCGAATATGCCTTTTCGCGCGACTCGTGATGGCTTCGTCTCGCTAACCCCCTGATCTGATCGTTTACAGTTTACTATTTTGTCCCCGCATTCCGATGTGAGCACCGACATTTTGCACTGTACATTCCGTTGCCAGTCAGCTGTTTACGTAGCGACAAGTCATTCTGCGGTTAATTTGGCTGATCCGAACCTCCACTGGGCCCATGTATCTCAGGTACAACTAAATGGAAACATTTTCGGGTAGGAAACTAGGGAACGAATTGTCAACCCAAGCCCATCCCACAGACGAGGACGTACAGTTCAAGTTGTTGCCTGGCAGGGGACATTGTTTGTGTCGATGCTGGGGTAACAAATTACACCGCATTGCACGGGTGCGGGGCGGAGCTACCCCAGGAGCTGGAAAAATTTATCCGCTTGAGGCATCAAGCGTGCCTGCAAGGCTGCAACATGCTGCCTTATTCGGCGGCAACGCCTTAGTCGCTGTCTCCTCCGAAGCACCGAACGAAGATTCGGGAACGGCCAACGTCGCGACGAGCAGAAGATCAACGGCAGGATGGCAAGTAACAACAAGGCGGAGCGATTTCATGTGGCATGATGCGGTCACCGCGCGGTGCCTGACGGTGGAACACTCGTCCTCGTCGATCGTCCACCAAATATCTCTCTCGCGTCCCATGATCCCATCGTGCTGGGAGCTCCCCGGATCGTCACAGGTGCTAGCGCTCGACTATGCTGCCTCAGCAATTGCGACGACGGCTTGTCACGCTTCGAGCCGAGCTGGCGGTGACACTTCACTGGGTGGGCCTTTCAGCAATGCCAAAGGCCAAAAGAATGAATCAGAATTAGCCGCGTGGATGCATCGTCCTGCTTTCCACCTGATCTTGCACGTGCTTTTTACCCAGCCGCCGAAAGCATGGCTGATCGTGTTGATGCTTCTGCCGCCAAATAGCGCAAAGCCCTTCGTGTCTCCCTCCGTGTATCTTTCTTAAAAAAACGCCTCGTGTCCTGTTCTGTACTACCTTCAACTTCCGCTGGAACAGTAGCAGTACGTCCTCATTTTCATCTCAACCTCCTCAGTACCTGGTTCATTTTTGTTTCCTCTCCTTTCTAGAAGCAGAGGAAGAAGGTTCGCCTACTACCAGTGCTGTACCCTAGGTTGCCTCCCTCTTTGTGCGGCCCAAAGGGTTCAGTGAAGACAACTTCCCCGGGTTCAGTGACTGAGCTCAGGACAAAAACTCACGAGCCTACTACCAAGGCCGCATATCAAGGACAAAATATCTCCAGCCGAGTTTATCAATCCATGCTGATGGCGGCCAGATCCCCGCACGTCACGCAGCGGCATTATGCTGCGCGGTGGACTTTTGAGGTGAGAAATGCAGTGACCGCACATATAAAGATCTTCTGGTTTTTTATGTTTTGACGGAACTTAGTTCTTGACAGAGGTTGGTTAGTCAACGCTTGGTTTTTTCCAGCGTTGGTTTGTCGAAGGTTGGAAGCTGCGAAAGGTTGGTCTTGGTTTGACAGAACTTGATTTTGTGACCGTCTTTGACAGCCTGGTTCTTGAGCTTGTTTTTCACACAAACTATTCTCTTTACAGAGCTCGGTTTGTTATACGGAGCTTCTTCATTACAGCTTAGAGTGCGGTTCTTTACACAGCTTGGACAGTGCAAGCCTGACTCTCCAAAAAAAGTAGGATTTTCAGCTCGATTATTTTCCTCATCTTTCCTCAATGCGACTCCCTCCTTCTACTCTGCCCGTTACTACAGGAGGACACGATACTGCTCAACCACGTCATGACACATGGCAGTTCCAGGTGGCACGACTTACACCGAAGCAGGCGATTGGCCCCTCACCGCGACGCCAAGGCCTGTTGCAACCGGTTCCTGCTGCTCAAAAGGTGTGTCGGAAGCTACTAGTAGGAATAAACCAAACCTGTTTGTGAGAATTCCGAATTGGTTTTAGCACAACGATGCTTTTGCAATGTTTTTGTGACTCGTGAGGTGAGGTCACTTGAGGTCATCGACGACGCAAATGTCCGCGGGTTCTGTGAACCCGAAAGTCACCGAAAAACCACGGTTTTCGTGACTTTTTGACGTTGCCATTTCTGCGATGAAACACTTCACTTTGTGCTTCTTCCCTGCCCACCCTACTCACCTTCCCCACCCTACTGCTACTCGCCCTACTCACGCTGCTACTCAACCTTCTCACGGTGCCACTCACCCTTCTCACGCTGCACATTGTGTCTGTGTCTGTGTGTGTGTGTGTGTGTGTGTGTGTGTGTGTGTGTGTGTGTGGTGTGTGTGTGTGTGTGTGTGTGTGTGGTGTGCGTGCGCGTGCGCGTGCGCGTGCGTGAGCGTGAGCGTGAGCGTGTGCGTGTGCGTGTGTTACCATCATCAACCTACTCACCCTGCTTCACCCTACTCAACCGGTTCGCACTGCTCTCTCTCTCGTCTCTTGCTGTGACCCCTCACAGGAAGTTTCTCCGAGGCCAGGCGCCCTTTGCGCAGCCGGTTCCGTCGGCAGGCTCGGCACCATCCCTGCCGCTTGTTCCTGTTTCCTCCGTCGCTGCACCTGCACTTGCTCCTGCTCCTGCCGCTCCTGCAGCTCCTGCCACGCTGGTCCCTTCTCAGGTCTCGCCCGCCTTTCTCCCCATGATGCCCGCATGTCCCCCCATGCTCGTGGCCGCCTCCGCCACCCCCGTGCCTGCATCTCCCCCCACGCCTGCGCAAACCCCCTTGCCTCTCCGCCTGAAAGCGCATGCCCTTCCCCTTCGGCCGTAGCTGCCACTCAACCTAGTACGCCCACGAACGAGCAGCAGCAGCAGCAGCAGCAGCAGCGGCGCTTGATCGCTCCGCGTTCTGGGGATGCCTCAGCCTCTGGCCGCACTGGCGACAGCAACTATCGCTCCTCCGGTCCCTCGGAATTCTCTCTTGACGGCCTGGCTGCACTTCCCGCAGCCCTTTCCTGCCCTGCTCCGCACGCCTCCTCTCCCCCTCCGCCCTCCCCTGCACACCTGCAGCAGCAGCCGCAGCAGCAACAACAACAGCTGATGCAGGAGCGGAAGGAGGAGCATAATCACAATCAAGAACATCCGGAGCAGGAGCAGCAGCGGCATAGGGAGACGGAACATGAAGAGACGGAGCGTCATCATCAGCACAATTCTAATCATCAGCAAAAGGAGAAAGAGGGTGAGCATCACTATCAGCAGCAGCAGCAGGAGGATGAGGAGGAGGTGAGGGCGGTGGTAGCGCAGCAGTGGCAGCTGTTAGAGGAAGCGATGCAGCCGCCACAGGTGCTGGCGCAGCAGACGAGGAAGAGGCAACTGCACGACGCAGAGCACAAGGCTCTCAGGTGAGCTCAAGTAGCTGCGGTGAAACACTTATCCCCTCTTCCTTCTCCCCTCTCCCCTCTCCCCTCTCCCCTCTCCCCTCTCCCCTCCTCCTTCTCCCACCCCTCCCCCCCTTTCCCCTCTCCCGTCCCCCTTCTCCCCTCTCCCTTCTTTCTTCTCCCCTCTCCCTCCCCTCCCCTTTCTTCCCTCTCCCCTCTTCCCTCCTCCCTCTCCCGTATTCCCTCTCGTCACCCCTCACCTCCTCTATCCCGTCTCCCCTCTCCCCCCTTCCTTCTCCATTCTTCCCTCCTCTCATTCCTCTCCCCTTCTCTCCCCACTCCCTCTCCCCCCACCCCTCCCCCCTCCCCCCCCTCTCCCCCCTCCTCCCCTCTCCCTTCTCCCCTCCCCCCTCGTTCCCTCTCTCCTCTCACCTCTCTGTTATATCCTCTCCTCTCTCCCCTCTCCTCATCTCTCCTCTCCCGTCTTTCCTTCTTCTCCCAGCGTCCCTCTCCCCTCTCCCCTCTTCTCCCTCCCCCCTCTCCCCAATCCCCTCCACTCTACCCTCTCCCTTACCCCTTACCCTCTCCATATCCGTATCTCCCCTGCCCTCTCCCCTATTCCCTCTCCCCTCTTCCCTCTTCCTCTTCCCTCTTCCCTATCGTCTTCTCCTCCCTCTCCGCTCCCCCCATCCTCTCCCCCTTCCCTCTTCTCTCCCAAATATTTTTCTCTCCTCTTTTCCCATTCTGCGCTCACCTCTGGAACCCCATCCTCGAAAACAGTTCTCACTTACCTTCATAACTCGTTTCCTTCGCTGCTCGTGTCCTCCCCATCTCACCACCATTCCCTCTCCCTCCCTTTCCCCCTTCCCCCTACCCCCTTCTCTCCCCCCCCTACAGCTGGTACATGCTGACGTCATCCCAGGCAAAGAGGCGCACGGGGGAAGAAGGGCGGCCCATTGTCACCCACCCCGCGCATGACAGCTCACCAACCTCCCACTCAATCCAGAGTGCATCGCCGGAAACCAGACAGCCGTATGCCCATAGCCTTGCCCGTATTGCCCTTGCTGCTGCTTCTGCTGATGTTCCTGCTGCTGCTCCTGCCCCTGCTCCTGTTGCTCCCACTCCTGCTCCTACTGCTCCTACTGCTGCTGCTGCTGCTGCTGCTGCTGGTTCTGCTGCTCCTGCTCCTGTTGCTCCCGCTCCTGCCATTGCTCCTGCTGCTCCCCCTCCTGCTCCTACTTCTGCTCCTGCTCCTGCTGCTGCTGCTGCTGCTGCTGCTGCTGCTGCTGCTGCTGCTGCTGCTGCTGCTGCTGCTGCTGCTGCTGCCCCTGTCCTTGCTCCTGCCCTTGCTCCTGCTCCTCCTGCTGCTCCTTCCCTTCCAGCTCCTGCTGCTCCTGCCCCTGCTGCTGCTCCTGCTCCTGCTGCTCCTGCTCCTGCTGCTGCTCCTACCGGACCATACCAATCATACCCATCATGCCCACCATACCCACCTTACCCACCATACCCACCACACCCATCATACCCACCCTACCCACCCTACCCACCATACCCAGCCTATCCACCCTACCCTTCATACCCCCCAGTGGACTGGGCTCCTCCTATCTTAACCCCCTCCACCACGCATCCTGTCTCATCATCAGACGAGTCAATCGGAAGCTGCTTCGCAACCTCCTCCCCGCGGCCTACCACCCCGGGGATGCTCAGGGGAGCGCTGCTGAGAACCCTTTCCGTTGGCAGCCCATGCAGCAGTGCTCCTCCCACGCCCATGGTGCATGATGAGGCGACTCATAGGCTGGCACTCGCACAAGGCGAAGCTCCTGCACCCATGGGTTGTCATCAGGCTTCCCATGGGATGATGGCTCTTGCTCCTGCACCCATGGCAGGAGCAGCAATGCTGCAAGCACCCATTGCACATGCACCCCTTGTGCAGGCACCCGTGGGGCAGCACTCTTCTCGCCAAGGGCCGCAGGTCCGACTGCTTCAGATGCCATCCATGCAGCGCCTAACCCAGGAGCTGCAAGCAAGAGGGCATGCACTGCAGAGGGATTCCCCTGGGAGCTCTGAGAAAGCTGGGTCGCTGGATTCGGTCGACGTTGACATCTGTGGACTGGATGATGATGAGGAGGAGGATGAGCATGAGACGAGCACGCAAGTGGGAGAGAAACCGGATGGGCCCTCATTATCAGATGGCCCATCACCATTGGATAATTTCTCACCGTTGGATGGGCCCGCATCATTGGTTGGATCCTCACCGTTGGATGGGCCCGCATCATTGGGTGGATCCTCACCGTTGGATGCGCCCACAATTCTTCAGATGTGCGACTACAATGAAGACAAGGGGGCTCAAGGTGGAGTATATAGAAATTGGTGGGATGACCTCTTCCCAGAGATGGTGGATGAGGATTTTGTAGCGGCGATGCAAGGTTGATGACATTCAAATGAGTGCCAACCTTGGGGACACCATGTGTTGTTTATATTGTTACATACTATTCTTTCTGTATGAAGCTTCAAACTAGAACCACCTAATGCTTTTGCTTCCTAGTTAGTGCTTCCTAAGCTTTTCTGGTAGCCATGCTTGGAAACAAATGGAACAAAACGTCTGGGGCAACATCAAGACGATAACCCAACAGCCCAGAAACGAGTGCGGGAATTTTGGGATCTCACAACTCAAGTCCTTGCCACAATCAAGGACAAAAAGTTGTTTTGGCCAGGCAGGGGAATGTTCTGCGTGTCTGCTGTAGACGCGTGTGGTACTTAGGGCGTGTAACTTTTTCGATTTGCAAAGTACGGACGACTGTCCCGTACGTACTTGGAACGGGTTACTAGTTTCGCTTTTACTCGTCATCAGGTTCGCCAGAAACCGTGCGACGTCGCCAACGTACGAACCACAACTGGCACTTTCACGCCTCTCACACGTACGTCCAACAGTCCTGACAGAGTCCGGACACCCGTCCGTACTGCCAAACATCCCTGACACCCCATTGGCGCACGAAAAAAGGAATGCAGAAGTCAATGCGGCTCGATTTCCCCGCTCAAATTTCCGTCGCCACGACGCGCCTCATACACATTTTGGACGTCCCCAAAATTACGTGGCACAATGCAGAGGCGCGGTTGGTGTTGGGCGACTTTGACGAGGGGGCAGCGACAGTGGTAGCGAGTGTAACTTGTCGCATGTTTTTTGAATTTCGAAAGCACAAAAAGTGTCACAAATGTGGTACGTACGGCACAGCGTCCGAACCACACCCCCTAACGTACGGACGGGGCACAGTCCGTACGTCTGGTAGGCTCCGAACGTACTTTTAGCGTAAACTGAAAAAGTTACACGCCCTTAGTACGTTTGCGACATCAAGCGTGCCGGCACTTGATCTGGAAAACGCCTTCCTATTGGTTCCCCCCGGAAAGAAATTTGGGACGAAGTTTCTATACCCGCCAGCGGAGCACCACAACGACTGCCATGCCAAACACGGCAACAAGGCGGAGCGATCGCAAGGCGGAGCGATCGCAAGGCGGAGCGATCACAAACAGTGCTTGTGCGTGTACCAAATATCTCTCTCACGCGTCCCGGAGAGATCGGAACTCTCGAGATCCCTGTTGGTTTGCAGGCTAAGCTGCCACCATGAGCAACCACGTGACGTTGCGACTCGCCTTGTCCATTCCCAGCTGAGCTGGTGCTGACGGTTCACGTGATGGTGGTGACCCTTTCAGCAATGCCAAAGGGCAGCCCATGAATCAGAATTAGCCACGTGGATGAACCGTTATGCTTTCCACTCAGCCTCGCACGTTTCATCGTCGCTCCGCCGCCGAAAGCCAGCGAAGCCACTGTTGTTGGTGGTGATGTGATGATCGCCGCCAGCGCAAGCCCGCTTCCCCAAACAAAGCCTCTTGCGCAAGACTCCCACCCTTTAGATATCTCAACCAACCTGCTAAAGAAGATGCATTTTGTCTCCGCTCTTCCCTTATTTGCGAAGGAAGGGGGTTCGCCTAAACAATTTGTGCTAGTGCTAGGTGGCAGTGACTGCCTGCATGTACGGCAAGAAAGTAACCATTCGGTTTTTACTGAGCTCAGGAAAATCTCACGAGCTTAGTACTAACATTGTCGAGCCGCTTTCACGGCATAAAGCCGAGTATTGTCACAATGATGGCGGCTAGAGCTCCGCGGCATGTCACGCAGCGGCATTATGCTGCGCGGTGGACCTTTGAGGTAAAAACGCATTCCCGATTTTGCGCATGATTGGAACTTGCCAGTTTGGAGCTTGGCTTAACTTGGCTTATTACAGAGCTTTTTCTAACACACCTATGTTTCTCGACAGAGCTTGCTTTGGAGAAAGATTGGTTTTTGAGAAATGGCTGGAGGTTGTTTTTTGACAAATGCTGGTTTGACAGAAGTTAGTTTGACAGAGGTTAGTTTGACGGAGGTTGGTCTTTTACTTGTTCTTAGTTGAGAGGGTTTGGTTATTGTTTTGTGATACTGTAAAGCTTGGACCTCGACAAAGTCTGTGTTATTACAGAGCCTGGTTTCGGAGCTTGATTTTTTAAGGAGCTTGTCTTTTCGCAGAACTCGTTCAGGGCTCGATTTTTTGCAAAGCTTGGAGTGAAGTCAGGTTGTCTAAGAAAATTAGGCTTTTGAGCTCATATGAATGCGACTTTTTCCGTCTAACCTCCCCGTTACAGGAGGACACGATATTGCTCAACCACGTCATGACACATGGCAGTTCCAGATGGCACGACTTACACCGAAGCAGGCGATTGGCCCCTCACCGCGACGCTAAGGCCTGCTGCAACCGGTTCCTGCTGCTGAAGAGGTGCGCCAGAAGCTAATAGATACCTCGTGAGAGGATTCTTTAGGCGCCTGAAACAGTGAGACGATTTTCACTGGCGCCTCAAAATTCGTTTCACCGCGACGCTAAGGCTGCTGCATCCAGAAGCTAGACGTAGATACCTTGTGCTAAACTAAACCCTTCACCTTGTGTTCATTATCTCTGCTCGTTGACCTACCCACCATACCGCTACTCACCATATTCACACTAACTTACGCTGAGTCATCCCGTTCACCCTGCTTCACCTTACTTAACCCGTTCGCCCTGCTCTCTCTTCTCTTCCATTCACCCTGTGACCCCTCCGCAGGAAGTTTCTTCGAGGCCAGGCGCCCTTCGCCCAGCAGCCGTTTCCCTCTTCTTCGGGACCAAGCCAATCGTCGCCATCCCTGCCACTGCCAACACAACTTCTTCCTCTTCCCTTCGTCGCTGCTCCTGCTCCTGCCGCTCCCCCCATTCCCGCCTCTGCCCACATTCCCGCGTCTTCCCTCATTCCCCCCTCTCCTTCCACTCTCCCCTCTCCCTGCCCTCTCCCCTCACCCCCCACGCTCGCCCAAACCCCCCTCGCCTCTGCACCTGAAAGCGCCAGCCCTTGCCCTTCAGCCGATGCTGCCGCTCAATCCACGACCACACTTGAGGCCTTTACTAATCCCACAGCGGCCTGTCAGAGCAGCAACGCGCACCCAACAGCAGAAGCTGCTGCGGGCGCGGAGGCTGTCGCTCAACCAGCGACCACACTTGAAACCCGCAACCCTAAACACACAACAGCCTGTCAGAGCGGCAGCGAGCAACCAACAGCAGCAGCTGCTGGCGCGGAGGCTGCGCAGAACAAGCAGCAGCAGCAGCAGCACATGACGGTCCCTGTCTCTTGCAACTGCAGTTATCCACTCTTTGACTCTCTGCACTCCCACTCCGGGGCAGCTTCCCTCTCCTGTCTCACTGCAGGGCTCTCCTGCCCTGCTGCTCTCGCCTCCTCTCCTCCTCCGCCTTCCCTCTCCTGTCTCACTGGGGACAGCAGCACCTACCGCTCCTCTGGTCCCTCAGGATTCTGTCGTGATGCTGCAGACCCTGCAGGGCTCTCCTGCCCTGCTGCTCTCGCCTCCTCTCCTCCTCCGCCTTCCGCTGCAAAGCTGCAGCAGCAGCTACGACTTGTGCAGGAGCAGAGGCAGGAGCATAAGCACAATCAAGAACGTCAGGAGCAGCAGCAGCAGCAAGGGGAGACGGAACATAAGGGGATGGAACGCCCTTATCAACAGAAGCAGCAGGAGAAGAAAAAGGAGGCGAAACAGGCAAAAACACAGCAGCGGCATCAAGATAAGGAGGAAGAGGCTGGGCATCTCTATCAGCACAAGCAGCAGCACCAAGAGGAGAAGGGGAAGCATCAAGATCAGACATTGCAGCAGCAGCTGCAGGAGGAGGAGGAGGTGAGGGCGGCAATAGCGCAGCAGTGGCAGCTGTTGGAGGAAGCAATGCAGCCGCCACAGGTGGCGCAGCAGACGAGGAAGAGACAGCTGCACGACGCGGAGCGCAAGGCGCTTAGGTGAGCAAAAGAGGCAGCTTTATGACGCGGAGCACAAGGCGATAAGGTGATAAAGACGAACGCTAGTCCCTTCTTGCCCCTCCCTTTTCCCCAATCCCCTCTCCCCTATTCCCTCTCCCCTCCTCCATCACCCCTCATCACCTTCCTCCCTCCTCCCTCCCCTCTCCGCTCCCCCCTCTCCCCTCTCCCCTCCCCCCTCTCCCCTCTCCACTCTCCCCTCTACCCCCATCTCCTCTACCTCTCCCTTCTCCCCACTCCCTTCTCCCCTCCTGCCTCTTCCTCTCCCCTCTCCCCTCTCCACTCTCCCCTCTCCCCTCTCCACTCTCCCCTCCCCTCTCGTTCCCCTCCCCATCCCCTCTCCCCTCTCTCCTCTCCCTTCTCCCCTCTCCTCTCCCCTCTCCCCTCTCCTCTCCCCTCTCCCCTCTCTCCTCTCCCCTCTCTCCTCTCCCCTCTCCCTTCTAAACCCTCTCCCCTCTCCTCTCTCCCCCCTCCCCTCTCCTCCTCCCCACTCCCCACTCCCCTCCCCTCTCCCCTCTCCCCACTCCCCGGTTCCTTCTCCCCTCCTCCATCTCCCCTCCCTTCTGCCCCGCTCTCGCCGCTCTCCCCTCCTCTCCCTCTCCCCTCTCGTCTCTTCCGTCTTGCTTCTCCCCTCTTCTCCCCCTCTACCCTCACTCTGAAACCCCACCTTATGAGAATTCTCAGGAGTAAAAAATATCACTTTCGTCCTCGTGACTGGTTTCCTTCCGTGCCCGCCTCCTCCCTATCTCATCACCATCCCCCTCCCTCCCTTTCCCCCTTCTCCCCTACCCTTCTTCCCCCCTACAGCTGGTACATGCTGACATCATCCCAGGCAAAGAGACTCGCAGGGGAAGAAGGGCGGCCCATTGCCATCCACCCCATGCATCACAGCACACTCACCTCCCACTCGATCCACCACACATCCTCAGAAACCAGACGGCCCTATGCTCGTCTCCCTGTGCATGGTGCCCATGCTACTGCTGCTGCAACTGCTGGTGCTCCTGCTTCTGCTCCTGCTGCTGCTACTCCTGCCCCTGCTCCTATTGCTGCTGCTCCCATTCCTGCTCCTGCTCCTGCTCCTGCCTCTGCTGCTCTTTATCCTGCTTTTTCTCCTGCTGCTTCTCCTCCTGCGGCTGATCCTGCTACTGCTGTGCCATATCAGTCACACCCACCGTACCCACCCTACCCACCACACCCATCATACTCATTGTACCCACCATGCCCACCATACCCCTCCTACCTACCATACCCGTCCTATTCGTCATGCCCTTCACACCCCCCTTTGAACCTAGCACCTTCGGAAGTAGCCCTCCCTACCACTCAGCCTGTCTCATCATCAGACGAGTCGATCGGAAGCTGCTTGGCAGCCTCCTCCCCCCGGCGCAGCACCCGTGGGATGCTCAGAGGAGTGCTGCTGAGAACCCTCTCTGTGTGCAGCTCTCGCAGCAATGCTCCTCCCACGCCCACGGCGCATGATGAGGCATCAGCTGCTGGACACATCACGCACGTTGAGGGGACTCAAGGGGTGCCACAGGCTTCTGGGCATGTGGAGCAGCAACAGCACAATCCTTTGGTCGTGGCACACGACGTGACTTTCAAATCGACTCAAAAGTCTTCTGGGCATGTGGAGCAGCAGCAGCACCCTTTGGTCATGGCACACGACGAGGCTCCTGCACCCAGGGGTTGTCATCAGGCCTCCCATGGGATGATGGCTCTTGCTGCTGCACCCATGGCGGGAGCACCAGTGCTGCAAGCACCCACAGCGCATGCACCCCTTGTGCAGGCACCCGTGGGGCAGCAGCACTCCTCTCCTTTCCAAGGGCCACAGGTCCGACTGCTTCAGATGCCATCCATGCAGCGGCTAACCCAGGAGCTGCAAGCAAGACAGAATTCTCAGCAAAGGGAGTCGCCTGGGAGCTCTGAGAAAGCTGGCTCGCTGGATACGATCGACGTTGACATCTGTGGGGTGGAGGAGGATGAGGATGAGCATGCGACGAGCAAGCAAGAGGGGGAGAAGCTGGATGGACCCTCAGCATTGGATGGATCCTCACCGTTGGATGGATCCTCACCGTTGGATGGATCCTCACCGTTGGATGGATCCTCATCGTTGAATAGCCAATCCCCATTGGATAGTTCCTCACCGTCGGATGCACCCTCATTGCTGGGTGGGTCCTCAGATTTGGGTGGGCCCTCATTGGATGGGCCCACAATTCTTCAAATGTGCGACTATAATGAAGACAAGGAGGCTCAAGGTCAAGGTGAATCATACAGAAATTGGTGGGATGACCTCTTTCCAGAGATGGTGGATGTGGATTTAGTAGCGGCGGTGCAAGGCTGATGGCACTCAAATAAGTGCCATCCTTGCTACACTATGTGTCGTGTATATTGTTGTATACCTATTTTTTTATGTATGAAGCTTCTAATCATAACAACCTAATGATTGTACTACCTGGTTTTCTGAGTTGGGTGATGTATGGTGCTCTTATGTCCTCCGGAAAAAAATACCAAAATCTTGTACGGTTTTTCTTAAGGTGGCCCAACATCACGTCGTCCAATCAGACCACCTCCACCATTTTTTCCGACATAACCTTTGGAAAAACGCCCTGTGGTTTTGTAAAATTGCATCTGCATTCAAACTGTTGTAGCCGAAAGAGATTATGCGCATTTGACCGTTTAAATTACCAGAATGCACAGCTTGAGTGAGGAAAGAAAAATGAATCTCCCGCACCTTTGCACAAACCTGTCTTTTGCAGGGGGGACTTCAAACGCTCAGGCCCTTCCAGCAGGCAGGCTGCCAATATTTTTTCATACAATGTCCTCTTTACAAAGACGTGCGGTAGGCAAAACATCAAGCTGCAAACATGGTTTCCCGTCTGCCTCTGCAGGCACATTCAGCAGGGCACCCCCTCCCCCCCCTACCCTCCACGAGGTATTGCTGGAAGTGAGTGGCGTTGGCCGAGATGCACGTCCGCAGGACAGAGAGGACCTGAGCAAGGGAGCCTTGCTTGCTCACGGACTGCAACAAATTATGATTTCCCATCTGCCTCAACTGGTGCATTCAACAGGCCACCCTCACCCACCTCCACGAGGTACTGCTGAAAGTGAGCGGCGTTGGCCGATATGCACGACTGCACGACAGAGAAGAACCAAAGGCTTGCTTGCACACTGCAACAGTCTATGATTTCCCATCTGCCTCTGCAGGTGCATTCAACAGGTCACTCTCCCCCTCCTCCATGAGGTATTGCTGGAAGTGAGCGGCGTTGGCCGATATGCACGTCTGCAAAGCAGAGAATTGCGAGACACAGTCTGAACCCTGCGTTACAGTCACGGAATGGGGAGGGGAGCGGAATCGGAGGGGGAGGAGGGGTGAGTGCGCGGCAGGATGTCCCTCGCTCAACATGACCCTTGGTCACCTCATTCACCTCTCTTCTTTTACAACAGCACTGAAAACTCTCTGCCAGCTGCCTCCAGCCCGCTTGCACTGAAGAACAGCTTTGTGGTACCAGTGACAATCCTCATCCCCCTCACATCATCCCCCTCACCTCATCCCCCTCACCTCATCCCCCTCACCTCATCCCCCTCACCTCACCCCCCTCTCCTGGTCCTCCCCTTTGCTGACGCAGTAGCACCGGAAGCTCTCTGCAAGCTGCTCCCAGCACGCCCCTCCACCTCTCCCTCCCACCTGCAGCTCTGGTGATCCGCTCACCTGATCCACGCTATTCCCTTCCCTCCTCATCTGGTCCCCCCCATTCTCACCTGGACCTCCTCTGTACTGACATAGTAGCACCGGAAGTTCTCTGCAAACTGCTCCCAGCACGCACCCCAGAACAGCTTTGTAGCAGCACAGGCAGCCCTCAGTCTCACCCCAACCCCCTCCGTTCTTACATAGATGACCCCCCTCACCTCACGCCCCTCACTTGGTCCTCCTCTTTGCTAACATAGTAACACCGGAAGCTCTCTGCAAACTGCTCCCAGCACGCCCCTCCACCTCTCCCTCCCACCTGCAGTACTGGCAATCCTAGTCCCTCTCATATGCTCCACGATATTTCCCCCATTCTCACCTGATCCTCCTCTTTGCTGACATAGTAACATCGGAAGCTCTCAGCAAACTGCTCCCAGCAAGCCCCGTCTCTCAGCTTGTCCAAGCACGGACACTCCAGGGCCCTCTGAACCCTCTCCTCCTCGCTCTCCGCCTCTCGCCCTCCACCTCCCTCTCTCCCTCCTGTAGCTTGACTCTCCGCCTCTGGTGGGAGAAAGGCATGCCGTGGGTTTGATAAATTAAGGGATGGAAGCATAGAAAGTACTCTTTTGATGCGCCTGAGAAGTAGGGTGACGCTGAAATTGTCTTCAACTAAACCTGAGCAACGCCGATTAGCAGGATAAAAACGTGGGGGAATGCAGGCCGAAGCACGGAGTGAGCGGATTACGTATAAGGTGCATCTGCACACTCATCATGGAACTCTCGAGCACGAAAAAGAGGATTCAGGGCCTGATAAGGGTGCAATGGCCATGGGTAACAAGTCTTCATGGTAATTACATACGAGATTAGTAGGAGGTGCGAGGTCCAGGGCGATCGATTCACGTAACAACAATAAGCAAAAGAAAATGGCACCTCGGGGCCTTTCAAGGGCCTGTCGGAGGAGAAGCAAGAGAGGCAAAAGCTATTTTAATTGACTATGTAGCCTCACCCGCAACAAGAGCAGCTAAGGCCGCATGGGGTCCTTGAAACCAGATGGCGACCGACGACGTGGTACTCTCCAGGACATACTGAAGCTGTTCTGGAGGATTCTCAAAAGCGCCATGGCGAGTGACTTACCAGCGATAAGCGATGCAAATGCCGCCTCGGGCCCTTCCAACGAACCCGATGTAGCGTCTGGCTCGCGGGTATCTCGGTCCGGTGCGGTGGAAGGAGGTGAGGCGAGCGAGGGGGGGAACGAGGTGTCCGTGGGGCGACCCATAGCGGAAGGGAGTGAAGGGGAGGCGGGGGAGGGGGAAGGGGGAGATGCGGGAGGTGCGGGGCGGGAATACGCGGGGTGAGGACGGGAAGGCGAGGGCGGAGACGGCGGAGGGGAAGGGAAGGCGCGGAAGAAGGTGGAAGGGGGACGAGGCGAGTGGGGATGCGCCACGGTGAATCGCGGTTGAATTTGGTGACAAGGAGTGCAGATCTGTGCCAGCACAGAGCTAGTCTCTTTGATTGAAGGTGTGAAGATCGCGGCGCTGACGTGTGGATTTGCGTCGACTCAAAGACCGCAAATCTGACGTGGCCGTGTATGGACGAGACTATCGGCTAAGGGCTGGTCGTCGTGAAGGGAAGGAGAGGTAAGATCGGGGGGATTTCGGGCAGGACCACTTGGAGTGAAGATGCGAGGATGAGACAACGGCGAAAACGAGCGACTAGGCGAGTTCGGGCGACAATATCGCTGCGAAAGTGCGGCGCGAAGGGGCGTAAGACAAGAAGCTAGGGCCGTGATGGACAAGAGAGTCAGCGAGGCCGTTGGGTGGGTGGGGAGGATGAGGATGAGAGGTGCTACGCTATGGAAACCGATAATGTGATCGAGGATGGCAAGGTACGAGCTGGCGTTCCTCGAGAAGGGAGAGGCAAAGCCACTCCCAACACCGTGAACCCTACAGAATCCCTAGTGCACCAGTTTAGACCCAACAAAGCCGCTCCTAACCCCGTGAAAAGTTGCCTCAAGAGGGAGCAACAATCTGCAAGAATGCGAGCCATGCATCTGTACGCGCTACTGCAAGGAGTGTGTGTTTGGGTGGAGTCGTATTTTGTATCCAGCAGAAACATCCGCAGTTGAAAAGGTCGCAGGTTGTTACAGACGAAAGCTCCGAAGCGCAACATTTTGCAGCTGGCGACGTTCGCCAGAACCACAACTCTTGCACTTTTCCTCCACACTGCACGCAACCTTTTCCGCCACACCCTTATTTCCAGAAGCATCGATTTCGCCGTCAGTCACGCATTAGCTTTTAGGGCTAACCTTCCGAAGAGATACATACGAGTCTTAGTCTTAGTACGCACTCAGTATTATCTGTCCCCTGTGACTAGAAGATTAGGGAGATTAGTTTTATCCGGTTCAAGCTTTCGTTAGAAGAGATGATTGAAGTGGTGCTTAACGACCGATTAGGGAAGAAGATTAGGGTGAAGTGTAACGAGGATGACACTATCGGGGACCTGAAGAAGCTGGTCGCAGCGCAGACGGGGACTCGGCCCGAGAAGATTCGGATTCAAAAGTGGTACAACATCTACAAAGACCACATCACGCTCGCCGATTACGAGATCCACGACGGCATGGGTCTTGAGCTTTACTATAATTAATCGCTGGAGTGTTTTTTAGGCGGCTCGGAACGAGCGTTATTACTAGTGTCCAGACGATTGTCAATCGGCGATTCGCGTACTGGAAACAGTGATTTACCCTATAGGCGCGCGCGGCGGCTGCGTGATTCTATGCTGTATATCTTCACTAGAAAAACGCCATCCACGTCGTTCTTTCGTGCTCGTCCATGGCCGTTCGCCCTGCCATTTTGCACGGCTGAATTCGCTGCAGGTTACTTAGCTTCTTGAAACCGTATATGTGAAGGATTTGTGGATTGTATGTATTTGCTGGTTGCCGTGTGTGTCGTGCTGTTTGAAAGCTATAGGCTGACTGCCTAATTGTTTTGAGCGACATGGGACAGTAGTTACGGGTAATGGCAGTTTGTACTACGGTAGATTAATCACCTGCTTCAAGAGCAATCTGTTATTTTTTCATACCGGGCATGCAAAAGTCTAGGGATACCACATCCAGGGCTGAAACCCTAGCAACAGTCTGAATGGGTGTGGGAGAGAACATCAACTCTTGCTGCTATCACAAGCTACAGTACCTCCTCCATATCAGCATAGGTTCTAGCCTTTCCTGTGCATCATTCCATGGTGCTTACTGTAGCATAATGCCACTAGAGCTGAGATGATGCCATGCCATGCTGGAGCGGCTTGGATTGGAGAGGTAGGAGAGCAAGTATCAAATCCTGCTGCTGGACATGTGTTCCACATGTCCCCTTCCACAACAGCATGATGCTCTTTTTGGGAGCTATTTTGTGTTGCCTAATGGACCTTTGTGTCATCTCGAGGTGTCACGCACTGGTGTTGCACCACACGGACGAGGCGGTGCCATGAGCTGATGTCATGGGATGATGGCATGGGATGATGTCAGGGATGATGTCATACTTGCAGGGCTGCTTGGATGGAGCGTGTGAGTGAGAGGATCTCAAATGGAGGTCGGTCGGCTACAGCCTTGGCTGTAGCGGGGCAGGAGTCCGTTATCCAGAAGTGTGCAAAGCCCTCTGATGGATTGCCTGGGAAGCAAAAATGCGAATGGAACAGAGGTTTATGTTCAGAGTTAAAGAAAAGGCACACGACATCAGATGAATAAAGACGGGAGAATTTTCAACAGCAACAGCCTTGGCTGTAGCGGGGCAGGAGTCTGCTATCCAGAAGTGTGCAAAGCCCTCTGGGGGATTGCCTGGGTACAAATTAAAAAAGATGCATGTGAGTCTACATCGCCACAAAGTTATCATGCCATCAGTGACTTCACAGAATGCCCGCTCTGGCCTTACCATTTCCATCATGCTAAATCGACACCATTTTGGTTAAAAAACACCATGCGGACATGTTTTTATGTTAACCAAACATGATTTCATACCTCAACACGCCATGCTATGTGCCTCATAACTCAATCATACGAAATTGAAAATACACTCTTCTCACCGTTTGCATCGTGGTTGAATCGCCGCCAAGTCTGGTTGGGAAACACCCCATGCGTCACATATGCACTCACTTTCGCCGCTCCATGTGCTGCCAGGAGCCTCTGAAAGGAAGGAGTGCACACACGGGAAGCGGAGGGAAATATATCACTACATGGCATGTGCATTTGGCAGCCCCTAACGTCTCCCTTGTTGACAGGTGTTCCCGCCCATGAGGGTGGTGCCGTACTCTCACCAATCCCACAGCTACCATGCTGCTATCCCACCCCACCTGGCACTCAATGAGCGTGGATCCCGACTGCACTAGATCGCCCACGACCACCACGTGCCGTCCCTTGGGATTGCCCTCTTTTAGCTCCAGAAGGTCAGCCACAATCACCAATCACCGTGCGTGCATGCGTGCGTGCGTGTACATGCTGTGACAATGTGCAGTTCCCTCGAATACCATCACCTCCCATTGCAATTCCACTATACCTGGCATTCAATGAGAGTTGATCCCGACTGCACTAAATCGTCCACAATCACCACGTGCCGCCCCTTGGGATTGCCCTCCTTGAGCTGAACAATGCGCTTTTCTCCCTCGCGCACCTTGGTGCAGATCACCTGGCGGTAAAGGCAGGGAGAGACACACAACGAATGCTTGGGTAAGCAACACGGCACTCACAACCCTCGTTCAGCTGAACAATCCGCTTCTCCCCCTCGCGCACCTTGGTGCAGATCACCTGGCGGTATGGTACAATGGGGATTGCACAAGACCGGGAGTGGCACACAGTGGGTAACTGAGCCAACCGCACCACTCAAAACACCTGCACTACACATTTCTATACAATAAGGGGTGTATCATGGGCTGGGACAATAGCATCAGCATGCTGGGAAGCAACCAGCATGCTGGGAAGCAACCAGCATGCTGGGAAGCAACCAGCATGCTGGGAAGCAACCAGCATGCTGGGAAGCAACCAGCATGCTGGGAAGCAACCAGCATGCTGTGAAGCTATGTTGGAAAAGTCGCCAGAAACCATAAGCGCACACCGTATAGTCGTTAACGAATATACGGTGCACGCAATTCGTACGTATATTCGTTGGGTAAAATTCGGGCTGACCGGAAAAAAAAACGGATTTGTAAAGTCGCGCACGAATTGCGAATGTGCGACGCGACTCAAAATGTACGCACGTCCCAACCCAATTTGTACGCACGTCCCAAACACATTGTCACCCACACCTGTCAAAATTTGGGACGTGGGAAAGTCAGAACCGCATTGCACCCTATGTTATCGCGCGACTCCAACACACAAACACGAATGTCGTCAACCAGCGTAGGTGGTTCAACCACATCGTGGACTATAAGGTAAGCTGTTTCCCGTCATCTGTAGTATCTCTCTCGTTCATTCTCTCTCAACGCACCCGCCCAGCTCCACTTGATGTCGACTCCTACCGGTACTCCCGCGAGTGCCACTAGTGAGGCTCCTAGTGTTTCGAACGACGCGACCATGGCGGACGACGGGGATGTTCCTGAGAACACCCATGTTATTTTTAAGCACTTCCTTACCTCTACCGAAGGTTCCTCGACTGGTCCTGAGCGTACTGTCCGCACATGCCGGCACTGCAAGCTTAAGTTCGTGGGCGGCGCCTTCCGTTGTGCGCAACACATCACGCGCTGGAAAGGGCTGAAACGGAAGGACGTCCGTCTTTGCAAGGCGCCGATCCCTGCTGCTGACCGCAGCGCCGTCCGCGAATTGTACGAAGGCAAACATGCCCGCAGGGAAGGGAAGAAGAAGGCGGAGGAGATGGCGATCGCGGCGTGTGCGGGTGGATCGAAGAAGCAGTGCATCGAAGACTTTTACAGGGAGGGGGCGTCGTGTGCGAAGGACTCGGCAGACGACGCCATCTGCCTCATGTGGGCGGCACTTCACCTCCCGGAGCATCTCGCCGATCACCCTCTCTGGCGCAACGCTGTGCGCTGCATCACGGACGCGGGCCATGGCTACGTTCCGCCGAAGCGGCGGTATGTTGGTGGCGCCGGCCTTGCGCGCTGCCGCGGAAAGATCGAGCGGGGCCTCGCTCCCATCACTGCGAGCTGGAAGCGGGATGGAGTGACGATCGGTTCGGACATGATGACGGACAAAGTGGCCGTCCCCAAGCCAACATCCTGCTCATCAATGACTCCGGTGCTGTGATCGCCGAAAGTATCGACTGTAAGTTGGAGACGAAGACGGGAGGTTACATTGCATCGGTTTTACGCCCGATCATTGAGAAGGTGGGGCCCGCCAACATCGTTGCCTTCTGCATGGATGGGGGCAGCAATTATGCGGCTGCATGTAGGGAGCTCATGTTAGAATTTCCTCACATTGAGCATGTGCCGTGCGCGACTCACGTCATGGACCTGCTCATGGAGGATATTGGGAAAATGGATTGGTGCAAGGACATTGTGGCAAAGGCGGGGTTGATTATTACCTTTGTGCGTGCCCACCATTTCACCAAAGGTTACATGAGAAGCCCGCAGGTGAAGGGAGGGAGGGGGGAGCAGGTGCTGAAGCCGGCGGGCACCAGATTTGGCACACAATTCATCGCGGTGCAGCGACTTTGCGAGGTGCGGAGTGCATTGACGCAGCTGGTGCTGAGGCCGGAGTGGCGGGATTGGGCGAAGGGGAGGAAGCCGCCGGTCGAGCCCTTCGCAGACATGATCATGGATGCCGTGTGGTGGAAAGGGGCGGAGTTCTTCGTCGACCTCCTGAAGATCCCCTTTGTCGTCATGCGCAAGACCGACTCGACGGCCAAGGGCATGATGGGCAAGATCTACGATCTGATGCTTCAGCTCACGGAAGACATCAATGCGAAGCTGGAGGAGGAGGAGGCGGGATTGGTGCTGTCCAGCACTGAACGCACGGAGGTGACCAACATCGTCCAGAAGCGCTGGGACCACAGCATGGCGTGTGCCATGCACGTGGTTGGCCGGATCCTCAATCCGGTCAACCAAGAGGAAGGCATATTCCGGACCGACCTCGAGTGCACGCACGTCTTCAAAGCGTTTGTCGCTCGTCACTACGCGGGGCAGACGGTGACGCGCAAGGAGGGCGACGAGCTGCGTGCATCCCACGTCATCCAGGACGGACTGACGGCATTCAACACCCTGCAGGGGAGCTTCGGCCTCCCCGACGCCATCACTGACCGTGAGCTCGTGAAGGCCGGTAAGAAGACGGCCGTCGATTGGTGGACGTGGCACGGGACGGACCACCCCGAGCTGACAACGCTCGCTTGCCGCGTTCTCTCTCAGCCGGTGTCCGCTTCGGCGTGTGAGAGGAACTGGGCCACGTGGGAGTCGATCCACACTGCCAAGCGCAACAGGTTGGGGTCCGAGAAGTGTCGGGACCTCGTGTATGTTGCGCACAATTGGAACATTGTGCGCAACTGGCACAAGGGCCCTGATGGGGTGACGGTTCTCCCAGGGAACATCCCTGAGGCCCCCTGCCGGAAGGGTACAAGGAGGTTCTGGAGGAGGATGAGGAGGAGGGGGAGGAGGATGAGCTGGAGGATGAGTACAAGTAGAGGAGGAAGGAAGGGACGGGGGGAGTAGAGGGTGGGAGTAGGGGGTGGGGTAGAGAGTAGGCATGGGCGGATGGTGGCTGGGGGGGAGGGCGGGGGGGGTTGTAGGAGATGTAGGTTTGTAGTGTTAGTAGTAGTTATTCTGCAGGTCTAGGTTAGTGTAGGAGATGCATGTTGCTAGATTAGAGAAGTTGAAATTGTAAGGTTTTTTCCAACAAAAATGTATGGCACAACCTCCCCTCCCCCCCCTTCCCCCCCCCCCCTGGAGGGGTTTTTTTCCTCTGCCCGGTAAAAGTTTTATGCTGCCCGGGCAGCGTACTTTTCGCGACTTTCAAAGTCAGGCATTCAGCGTATAGCGCATTATACGCAAGCGTATATACGCTTGCGTACAATGCGCTGGGCGCGACTTTTCCAACATAGCTGGGAAGCAACCAGCATGCTGGGAAGCAACCAGCATGCTGGGAAGCAACCAGCATGCTGGGAAGCAACCAGCATGCTGTGAAGCAACCAGCATGCTGGGAAGCAACCAGCATGCTGGGAAGCACCCAGCATGCTGGGAAGCACCCAGCATGCTGGGAAGCACCATGGGGTAGTGCTGCAACGTACCATGGGGTAGTGCTGCAGTTGCTTGTGAAATCTCTTCCAGGCACCCTCATCAGGGAAAGCAATCGTTATCTGCATGCATGGTACATGCCATGAGGGGTGAGAGCAAGGCACATGAGAGGAGAGTACGTTGTGAGGCGCATCGAAGGTGGTCTCTTGTGAAATCTCTTCCAGGCACCCTCATCGGGAAAAGCGATCGTTATCTGCTCACACATGCAGCATGGCATGAGGGGTGCGTGGCGCATGACATATGGGCGGCAACTTCTGAGGCGCCTCAAAAGTAACCCCTTTTATAAACCTTCATTGGTGATTGTGATAATCATCTGCATGTATAGAATAAAGGCGCATGGCATGAGGGTGCATGACACATGGCATGAGCGTATGTACATGGAACATAAAACATGGCCTTCTGAGAATCAAGAATAATCCCTCGCCCCCTGCTTTGGCCACTTAATTCAACACCATTACACCCCAATACCCAGCCCTGCAGAACCCCCCCCCTCCGTCCCCCCTCCCCCCGGTTCCAACGCCCTCTAACTTTCCTGCCCTTTAATTACAAAACCTTGGAGTCTTTAAGTTGGTGCAGGCGGTGCTCAGCAGGGGAATGCAACCCGCCCAACGCTTCTGCTCACCCTTCTGATCACTTATACAGCCCATTCCACTCATAATCCCCGTCCACTCACATTATCCGAGTCCGGCAGTTGGTGCAGGCGGTGCTTCAGCAGAGGAATGACAGAAATTACTCGTCCTTATTCCCTGCACAGCCCTCCCTCCCCATCACCTGATCTCCCCCGTTTCTCACGTTATCCGAGTCTGGCAGTTGGTGCAGCCGGTGCTTCAGCAGCGGAATGCCGCTTTCAAAGCACGGCAGCACGTTATCCCCAAAGTAAAACCGCTCCTGATTGAATGAGGAAGAGAGGGGAAGAGAGGGGAAGAGAAAGAGGAAGGGGAAGGGGTGGCATGGAGAGGGTGGCATGGAGAGGGTGGCATGGAGAGGGTGGCATGGAGAGGGTGGCATGGAGAGGGTGGCATGGGATGTGAAAGGGAAGGGCACAAATGTCGATTTCAAAAGCATGGCAGCACTTTGTCTCGGCAGCCGATCCTGACCGTCGATTTCAGCTTTCAGAGACTAACGAAGATGGCAAGGCCAGTGGGTGGGCTGTTGCTTACCTGTCAGCAGGGAGAGAGGGTGACCCATCCCCAGTGGCGTGCCCAACCCACCCCAGTCCCCCCCCCCCCCCCGCTCCAGTGCCCACCCACCCCAGTGCCCACCCACCCCAGTGCCCACCCACCCCAGTGCCCACCCACCCCAGTGCCCACCCACCCCAGTGCCCACCCACCCCAGTGCCCACCCACCCCAGTGCCCACCCACCCCAGTGCCCACCCACCCCAGTACCTATCCAACCCGGTACCAATACCGCATGTATCAACCTGCAGTTCCTCTCGGGCACATGTGCCTGAGAGGAACTGCAGCACGTGAATGTCAAAGATGACCAGGCTGGTGGGCCCCTCAAGAGACGAGAATGTTGGAGCGGATCCGGGAGAGAGAGAAGACAGGGTACCAAGTACCTGCCCCCCCCTCCCCCCTTACCTACCTACCTTCTGGCCAGCTCCCACCTGCAGCGCGTGAATGTCAAAGATGACAAGGCTGGTGGGGCCCCTTCACGAGATGGGGATGTCCGAGGGAGTGAATTTACCTACCCACCCTGCCACCCTGGTACCTACCTCCCCCCACTGCCTATTGCCTAGCACCTGCAGTGCTAGTGCCCGCCCACCTGCAGCGCATGAATGTCAAAGATGACGAGGCTGGTGGGGCCTCCGCGCGAGATGGGGATGTTGGAGAGGATTCGCGAGAGAGTGAAGGCCGTCGCCACGTCCCCCTCGTCCTCCATTCTTTCACTGAGAAGCAAATGGCAAGGGTGGGGAAGGGGAGGGAGGGCAGGATGGAAAGAAGAGGAGCAGTGGAAATGAAATGAGACGAGCGAGGCGAGCAGGTGAGATCACGCCGTTGATCGAAAGATGGTCAGGTTGGGTTTAAAATGCGCACCCTTAGAATGCTCTCATTGAATGTCCACTGAATGTTTGCTAAAAACGGACCGCGTGCCGATGGGGAAGAACAGCAGGACGAGCGTGAACAACTCGACGGACATCCGCGGGCAGGATGGCATAGACGATGGACAGCGGCTCGCAGATGGCTTGTTCACTGAAACTTCACCTGTCAAGAATGTTCACTGAATGTTCACCTAGTGGTAACGATGAAGATTTGCTGAATATTCACCTTGACCCGGTAGGGAAGAAGGGCAGGACGAGCGTGAACGACTCGACGAACATGCGAGGGATGGCATAGATGATGGACAACTGCTCGAAGATGGCTTGGAATGTTCACCTGGTGCCAGTTGCGAACATTCACTGAAAGTTCACCTCGAGCCAGTCAGGGATGTGACAGAATATTCACCTGGTTCCACGAACATGTTGAGGGATGGCGTAGATGATGGACAGCTGCTCGAAGATGGCTCAGTGCAGGTGCTAGTCAGGATGCTATAAGGGAACATTCACTGATTATTCACCTTGTCCCGGTCGGGAAGAATGGCAGGACGAGAGTGAACGACTCGACAAACATGCGAGGGATGGCGTAGATGATGGACAGCTGTTCGAAGATGACAGCTGGCGAGCTGAAGGACGCCAGGAACGCCACGTGGCGGCCTCTGATTCCATGCGCGTTCGGCACAAAGAGGTTCGGAAAGCCGTCCTCAAACTTGCTGAAGAAAGGGCGTGTGGGGGGATGGGGCGGGAGGAGGGGGGGAAAGGGGGATTGGGTGGGAGGAGGGGGGAAAGGGGGATGGGATGGGAGGAGGGGGAGGGAGGGGGATGGGATGGGAGGGGGGGAATGGGGGGGATGGGGTGGGAGGAGAGGGGGGGGAGAAGGATGGGGTGGGAGGAGGAGGAGGAGGGGGAAAGGGGGGAAAGCGTGCAAAGCAGTCTCGAACTTGCAGAGGAAAGGGAAAAGGAGGAGGAGGGTGAAAGGTGGAAAGCGATGAGAAGGGGAAAAGGGGGAGCGATCGGAGGGGGAAAGAGAGGAAGCGATTGGAAGGCGAAAGGGAGAAAAGTGGAGGGGGAAGGGGGAAGGGGCAAAGGAGTTTGGCACTGAGAGGTTCGGAAAGCCGTCGTCGAAGTTGCTGAAAAAAAGGCGAGTGATCATCAGAAAGGGGTTCAAGAGAGCGACGGAGAGGCCGAAGGCATTGAGAGAGTAGGGGGGCCAGGAATGTGAGGCGGGACTGGGAGTGGGGAAGACGGGGGATGGGGGAGGCGGGTTGAGTGGTGTGGGGGGGGGGGGGAGGGATGGGTTGGGAGTGAAGGAGAAGGGAAACGGCAGTCAAGCGGAAGAACTTGGGAAGGGGAGGCGACAGGAGCCAAGTAGCGTGCGGCGCAGCTAGAATATAACGCGCGTGGGTCCTAAGATTGCACCTCACACCCGCGCCGCCACTCACCCCCATTCGATCGGCTTCAGCTCGATATTATCGACGTCCTCCGCGATACTCGACGCGAGATCCGCCATCTCGCTACAGTAGAACAGGCACACCTGCTTCTTCGACGGCCGGTCCAGAATATGACAAACCTGGCCGTCCACCAAATCTTCCATCATCAAATCGTATCCCGACGACAGCCGCCCGTTCACGGATCCCCCCCGTTTTGTCCTACTCGCGGTGCCATTTGCTGCGCCGTTGGCCGGCGGGGCTTCTGCTAGCCGCCCCATGACCGCGGCTGCGCGCGCCAACGCGGAAGGCGCGCGGAGAGGGCTCCCGCTTCCGCTTCCGCGCTGTCGGGAAAACCTTCCCCGCGTTTGATACTCTCTCACTCCTGCACGCCGCGATCCCGGGAAGCCTCCCATCCGCGATAACAACGGCTCCGCTACACGGCATTCTACGGCTGGGGAGGACGGCAGGACGCAGCTTCGACTTCGTGATCGGTGCGAAAATTGTGATAAGTGCGATGGGCGCGAAAGGTGCGAAAGGCTCGTCTGTGAGGACGAGCGAAGAACATGTGCGAGATCAGCGGCGACCGTGCCGGCTGCCATGGCTGCTAACCGACTGGCCGGCTTCAGATGCAACACGGGAGCCAGCTCACACCGAGTGACTGGGTTTAATGCGCTGCTAGAAACGGCAAGTGGGGATGGTGATTTGAGTAAACTGGTTGGTTGGCAGCTGGGAAGTGTAATAGCTGAGGCGTGAGAAAGAGGGAAACCCGAGGAACAAATGCGATCAGATTAGCACGCCGTTGAAAGCGGCAGCAGGAGCGGCTAGAAAGGCTCGAGCGAGGATTGGAGAAACGCTGATCAGGTGCTAGCTACTTTCTGCTGGGTGTGATTGTACTAACGAAAGAGAGCCTCCTAAAAGGTTCAGCTGCTGTACTTGTCTTAAAAAAAGTGTCGAGAATAAAGGGTAACACAGTAACCAGACAAGAAACTGCCATGATTCTTTTCGCCATGATCCTCGGGCTAGAGCCTGCATTTCAAGGCTCGTTCAGTGGGGCGAAAAGTATGCCACGCCCGGCCGAATCAGCCAAACATCAGATGCCAGGTTGGGCCTTTACTTGGTTTGGACAAACCGAGCGTCCACGCGAGACGCGGCATGGCCGACAAGAACAGGTCCGTGCAACACGGGAATGACTGGGAGTGATGCCGAACCAACAATTCAGGCCTGTTACCTTGAGAGTAATTACCTTGACCAATCGCGGTGCGCCACCACCGCCGCTTCGCCTCGCACTCGGAGCCGAAGAGCACCCACCACATCACCTCAACTGCCTAAAGTAACAGGAACATGGATTCTGTTATGAGTTGTTAGGCCCGACGGCCTAAGTCCGCTAAAGAATTAGCGGGGTCGACTAAGTCGAGGATAAAGCGCGGCGGAAGGCTTTGGCGAAAAGACTATTGGCGAAATAGGCGAAGAAGTTACTGAGTAATTGAAAGAGAGTTGAATGAGAATTGGTTGATATGAGGGAATACAAGCAAGGTTTATATAGCATGCAAGAAGGAAGGTTGGAAAGTAGAATGTGGGACTAGGAATTGTGAAGCTAGAAAAGTAGAGTGCCACGTGGCACTAGAGAATCTGAGAAGATAAGGATAAGGGTGACTTGGAATGTACTGTTCGGAATGAACAGTAAACACCCCTCTAACATGAGTTGTGAAAGAGAGTGCGCAGGTAAACGAATAACGAGACTATGATTATACGAACTCAGAATACAATGAAGGCACGCACTAATGTAGGGGCTAGCCTAGCTAGGAGGGAACCTCGAGTGAGCGTGGTTGGGTGCAGGTTTGGAGAAGGGAAAAGCCAAAGGCAACGGGAGGAGCCTCGGCAGCATTGATATCAGAAATCGGGGCTGTACGCGAAGCAGAAGTCCTTACACTACCCCCTCCCCCCCCCCCCCCCCCCCCCCCCCCTTCCCTTAAGAAAGGTGGTCAATATTCGCAACATGCCTGTGCGCGAGGTAATCACCAACGAGTGGGGACGCGTCAAGCGAGGCGGATGGCACCCGGGTGTCGTCTTCACCATGCGATCAGTCTAACGGATTAGAAATTATACGTGGCGGCTGCAGGAAAACCCGTCAGCTTTAAAACGCCGTCGTGAACTGAGTTCTTGATGAAAAAAATCGTGTGAGCTATCTCTGGATAGAGCTCTTAGCAACAAATCCGTAGCACCAAAGAACGCCAAGATTGGCCAAGAAATGAACGAAATCGTCAATTATATGGGGTTGGGTGTACAATTTTAGAGAGGATACATAACTCAATGACGAGTGAGTTTTTATACTCCATAAGATAGAAATCAAGCACTACTATAGTCGAGCCACATTTGTAACCGAGTCGCGTGCGCTTCGTAACCACCCAAATTACATTTGACGGTGGAATTTCGGAAACCAAGTTCCGACACATTTCCGTCTCACTCTTCTTTCAATGCATTCGAACTGCAAAGCAATGGGTCGGACCAATCACATTGCACCATGTGTTTGTGCTTTTGTTTGATTCATTCCGCCCACTTGCAAGCACCCCTCGCCACTTTTGTTTCTTGCTACCACCCAAGTGTAGTTCTTGACTTGAGTGCACCGTCACCTCCGCCCAACTTCTCACTACCCTCAACCCAACTTGACTAAGTTGGAAGGGTGTGAAGTGGGGACCACATGGTCTCAACCGACCCCCAACACTCCCCCTTGGTCCCCACGAGCAGCTATGCATACAATGCATGCAATCGCACATGGTCCCCTTAGTTGTGCACACGATCGCGGTCGATGTGCATGCCGAGGTAGAATGAGACGGCACCAAGGTCGCGCATGGAGAACTCCGATGCAAGCTTCGCCTTGATCTCCACCACAAGGTCCTTGCAATCGGAAACGAGGAGAAGGTCGTCCACATAGAGAAGTAGGACGAGCTTCTTCTCCCCTCGGTTGAGGATGTAGAGGGCATGATCACACTCGCTCCGAGTGAAGCCCAACTCGAGCAAGTACTTGTTCATCCTCATGTACCACGCTCTAGGGCTTTGCTTTAAGCCATAGATGGTACGCTTCAACTTGCACACACGGTCCGAGCCATCCTCGAACCCCGGAGGTTGCCGCATATACACCTCCTCCTCTATGTGGCCATATAAAAATGCGGTTTTTACATCAAGTTGTTCTACCTCTAGGTCAAGCCCTCCCGCTAAAGCTAAGAGAACACGAAGGGTAGTAGACTTTGCTACCAGAACAAAGGTCTCGCTGTAGTGAATCCCGGCCTTTTGCGTGTACCCTTGAGCCACCAAACGAGCCTTATAACGCTCCACCTCGCCGTTGGGTCCGAGCTTCTTCTTGAAGACCCATCGGGAACCAACGGTGTAGCTATTTGGGGGCAAGGGGACAAGATCATACACATCGTTCTCCATGATGGACTCGTACTCCTCATTGAGTGCTTGAGTCCACTTGCCGGCTTCGAGCGTCTCCATCGCCTCACGGTAGGTGGTGGGTGTCAATTCGGCCATGAAGCATATGGCATCTCCCCCTCCCTCATCATCCTCCACTACAAAAGAGTAGTCGACGTACTTCGAGTTCGGGTGAGGAGCTCGTCGAGTGCGAGTAGATGCAAGTGTTGGAGCAACGGCGGTAGAAGGACTACCATCCTTCTCACTCTCCTGTCCAACCACTTCAACAACATCTCCCTCCTCATCTTGAACACTCCTCTCCTCGGGAACGTCTTGAGGAGGTGACTCGTTCGTGTCCTCAACCGTTGGAGGGATGACCACGATCGAATGCTTCTCATTTGGTGAAGTTGGGAAGCGGTTTTCGAAGAACGAGACGTCACGCGACACCACCACCTTTCCGCTCTCCAAATCCCACACTCGCCATCCCTTGTGATCAAGGCTATGGCTCAAGTACATCCTTACACGCGCCTTCGCCTCAAGCTTGGTGCGTGTAGCGTCGGGGACGTGATAGTAGCAAATGCACCCGAACGTGCAAAGGTTAGAGAAGTCCGGTTTGTCGCCACTCCAAGCCTCAAGGGGTGTCACGTTCGGCAAGGTCTTGGTCAAGCTTCGATTGTGAATCCAAGTCGCTAACATTGTCGCCTCACCCCACCAAGCCTTGTCCGCATGAGCATGGGCAAGCATGCTCCAAACCGCTTCAACCAACGTGCGGTTCAAGCGCTCCGCCGCTCCATTTTGTTGAGGCGAGTGGGGAACCGACACTTCGTGGAAGGTGCCTCGCGCCTTGAACCACCCGTCGAGCTCCTTGTTCACGTACTCTCCTCCTCCGTCCAAACGAATCCACTTCACGAGTTGTCCGTTTTTCTCCGTCTCAACAAGCGCCACCCACTTCTTAATTGTCGTAGTAGTCGCGCTCTTGTCCTTGAGAAGGTAGACCCATACCATTCGTGTAGCGTCGTCGAGGAAGGTGAGAATGTAGCGTGCTCCCCCTTTGGAGGTAGGGGTGATAGGTCCACACAAGTCGGTGTGGACGAGATCGAGCGGGTTGGAGGCGAGCGGCTTCGTGCGAGTTGGAAATGGCTTCCTTGCCATCTTCCCTTCAAGACACGCCGAGCATTTCTCCACCTCCTCGTTCGTTGACAAGTCCGCGACGATCCCGTGAACACGCCTTGGGTTGCCATGGTGCGGATGGTTGACACACTCAAGTGCCCGTAGCGGTTGTGCCAAATCTCCAAGGAAGGTTTCGCCACCGCCGCGTTCGCCGACGCAATGTTCGGTGTAGCCACGAGCTTGAAGAGACCGCCGTCTTGATGCGCCTTGCCGATGAAGCGCCCGGAAGACGTGCTCAACATCATGACCGCGCCTTCGATGTTGACGCGCACGCCCTTGGTGGTGAGTTGCGACACGGAAAGTAAGTTGGCCCCGAGTCTCGGGACAACCAACACGTTGTTGATCGTCATTGGACCGCCGTCCACCGCAAGGCGCAACGTTCCGCGTCCATTCACCTCAAGCGAGTCTTGATTCCCGAAGACCACGCGCTTGATAGGAGCATCCGCCGAGACATCTTCAAGGGGGCCCGCGTTCGATGTCATGTGTTGCGTAGCCCCCGTGTCGAGAAGCCATGCGAGTCCGCCGAGCGCTCCTTCTCCCGCGATGAACACGAACTCCTTGGTGTCTTCTCCCGAAGTCACCACGTTCGCACGCCGCTCCTCTTGAGTTGGCGTCGTTGGAGTCCAATTCTTCGGCTTGCTCCGACACTCGCGCCACCAATGCCCAATCTTCTTGCAATACTGGCATGCACCTTCACGAGCATGACCACGGTTGTTGGTGGCGTTTCCTCCACGTGGCGCGTTCGACGTGCCCGCACCTCCACTCGTGTGACCACGGTCATTCCGTGGCTTGAAGTTGACGACGCCCTTCTTCGCGCCACGAGTGAAGTGAGCCGAACTCGTTGTGTCGCCTTGCAAGATGTTCCGCCGCATCTCCTCGTTAATGAGGCGCGTCGTCTCCTCCTCCTTGGTCCACGTCGCTTGCGTGCCTTCAAGGGTGGTGATGACGGTTGACCATTCCTCTCCAAGCCCCCCGAGAAGGGTCATGATCCAATCCTTCTCATCCACATTCGCTTCGAGCTCCACCATTCGTTCGCCAAGTTTCTCAACACGATTGATGTACGCCCGCATGTGCTCGCCCTCCTTGATGCGCACGGTGAAGAAGTTCCTCCTCGCTTGCAACTTGCCGTGGAGAGACTTCGACACGTGTATGTTCTCAAGGCGCCTCCAAGCTTCACGTGTAGCTCCTTCAAGATCGATGCACGAGCTCACCACAGGCACGAGTTGAAGTCCGAGCTTCGACACGAGAAACGAGAACGACTCCTTGTCCTTCTTTTCCCATGCTCCTTTCTCCGATTCCGAGGCGCTTGCAGGTGGCTTCTTTTCGGACCCGTCGAAGAAGCCCCAAAGTTCACGCTCCATCATGTGAACTTTCAATATGAAGCGCCACGATGCATAGTGTTCGCCATTAAACAATGGCACCGCACTCATGTCGACGATCGTCGTCGATGCAAAGTAGGACTCATTGAGGGTAGAACGAGCAGGGACCTCAGTGGTCGATGAGGAACCGAACGACATGGCGAGAAGTAGCGCTTGGCGTCAAGCGTTTGAGGATTCCTAAAGCTCTAACACCATGCAGGAAAACCCGTCAGCTTTAAAACGCCGTCGTGAACTGAGTTCTTGATGAAAAACTTCGTGTGAGCTATCTCTGGATAGAGCTCTGAGCAACAAATCCGTAGCACGAAATCATCAATTATATGGGGCTGGGTACACAATTCCAGAGAGGATACATACAGTAACTCAATGACGAGTGAGTTTTTATACTCCATAGGATAGAAATCAAGAACTACTATAGTTGAGCCGCATTTGTAACTGAGTTGCGCGCACTTCGTAACCACCCAAATTACATTTGACGGTGGAATTTCGGAAACCAAGTTCCGACACATTTCCGTCTCACTCTTCCGTCGATGCATTCGAACTGCAAAGCAATGGGTCGGACCAATCACATTGCACCATGTGTTTGTGCTTTTGTTTGATTCATTCCGCCCACTTGTAAACACCCCTCGCCACTTTTGTTTCTTGCTACCACCCAAGTGTAGTTCTTGACTTGAGTGCACCGTCACCTCCGCCCAACTTCTCACCACCCTCAACCCAACTTGACTAAGTTGGAAGGGTGTGAAGTGGGAACCATATGGTCCCAACTGACCCCCAACAGCGGCCAGCTGCGACAAGTCGAACCCGATGTGCCAGAACCTTTGACAGGTCGAGGGTCAGCTCCGAGATAGGTGCTGCTGTTGGGGCAACATTTTGGCACGCGATGTCTTTCGTGGCTGGGACGAACTTGCGAAGTACGCTGATGTGGAAGGCGTCATGGATATGCCAGTCGTTGGGGAGCATCAGCTTTGCGGTGATGGATGCCATCTCGATGATCTTAAAAGGCCCACAAAATCGTGGCCGTAGCTTCGACGGGCCGGGCAGGTGTAGGTCTTCGTATCGAGGAGGACTATGCTGACGGGAATAGCCCCGCCCTCGCTTGGGCGAAGCAGACTTCGCAGTCGGGGGCGCGCAGAAGGCGACCTCGACCTGTCCGTAGAGTTCGTCCTCGACCAGTCCGCAGAAGTCGTCGGCTGAGGACGGGCTCGTATAGGACGGGTCGAGGGGTTCGTATAGGACGCTGGTCGGCGGACTTGCAGAGGACGAGTCCGTCGAGGAACTCGGTATAGGAGCTCCTCTACAAGGCCGGTATAGGAGCTCCTCGACGAGGCTGGCAGAGGGCTCGTCTAGGCGAAAGCTGCTCGACGGAGCATTCGTCGAGCTACTCTACGGAAGTCGCGCGACTGCGAAATTCGTCATGTGGGCGAATGTCGCCCAGGAGGTGTTCGCGAAGTCAACCTGCGTAACAGCATCGCGTGCTCGACGTTGCATCGCTGGCGAAACGTCGGCACGTGTTCTACCTGGCACCTGTGCAATGTGCCTGGCGGCGCGTCCGTCTACCTGCACCTACTTGGTAGGTGCGCACCTGCGTAGAAGTTCACCTGCCTCTGCGGCGCTGGCAGACCGCTGCTATACCGCGCTGGCAGACCGCAGCTATACCGCGCTGGCAGACTACTCTGCTGCAGCGTTGGCAAGCCGCTCTTCTGCTGCGCTGGCGTAGTTCGCCTTGTAGAGGGCTTGCTAGGTGTTGCAATGCCATTCTAGCTATATCGACTTGCATGCCTCATCGTTATCTGTTGTTATTTCGATTTCTTAGTGGAATTCTTGACATACACTGAACGAAATAATTGTCCACATGTTCATGTTTCAATACAAGGATGGGGAATTAGTGGCTATTGTGATTAAGCCTTAATAACAGGACGCCATGAGGACAAAGGCCGGAGGTTTGTACATCGGTTCACATTGCTGCATAGCCGCAAACTCGGTTAAACAATCAACTCATATAGTAAAAGGTAAATACTAGCATATGGACAGTTTTTTTTAAACACAGTCACACAAGCAAAGCATGCAGAATCTAGTACTTGGTCCAGCGACCCTTGGCCTTGAGCACAGCCCGCACACGCCTAGGCATGCTGTCGATCAGCTCACTGCACCAAGCCGCAGGGATTTTCTCCCATTCCACTTGTACTCTGTCCCATAACTCGAAAATGCCTGTAGGGGGGCGGGGGTAAGCAAGCAGCTGCTTCTTCAAGTAAACCCATAGATGCTCTATGGGGTTGAGGTCAGGACTGGATGCTGGCCATGGGAGAACCGAGAACGGCTGCTCGGCGAGGTACGTTTTGACCATTTTGCATGTATGCTTCGGGTCGTTGTCATGCTGGAACACCACGTTCTCTGAATCCAACTCGTAATGCTCGATAGTCTGCTGCAGCTCGTCTTGTAGGATAGAACGGTACAACTCGCCATTCATTCTTCCCTCTATCTTGCGCATAAAACCCGCGCCGTTGTATGTCATGCACCCCCAAATCATGATGGAGCCGCCACCATGTTTGACGGTCTGTTTCACATGGTGCGGCTCCATGTGACAGTCCTCCCTAATCCAGGCCCAACTACGTCCGTCGCTACTAAAGCGGCAGATCTTCGTTTCGTCGCTCCAGATAACGCGCTTCCAGTCCTCGATCGTCCAGTGCTGATGGTCCTTGGCCCACTGCCGGCGGTCATTGACGTTTTTCGCGGATAATCTGGGCTTCGACGGCTTTTCTATCGCCCTAACACGGTGCCGCTTGAGAGTGTTTCTCACGGTGGCTCCCGTGAAACTGATGCCGTGCGTTGAGGATATCATTCCCGCTGCGGCCTCGGCGGATTTCGATTCATCAGACACTATCGACCGAACGACTATCCGTGCGATTTTCTCTGGTAACTTGCGCGGCCGACCTGGTTTCGCCGGGGACGGCATTAGCTCGTCGTACGTTTTCGGGCCGAGGTGGCGGAGGAGCTCATCATGGACTTTTGAAACTCCCAACTCCTTAGCGATCTGGCAGTAACTACGCCCCTCTGCAATTAGCTGCATGATCCGCTTCTGTTTCTCCTCGCTAAGGCGTTTCATGTTGCGGGGGTGTTAGCGCTACTCTAAGATCGTCGATCTTACCCGTAATCTCCTCTGTACCTAACTAGTCTAGATCTAACAGCGTATGAAATAATGCGCGTGACATTTCGGAAGCATTTGTCCGTATGGGGTGTCTAGAGGGAAGTGCAGTCTCGTTAGAGTGACGGGTGTTTTTGGGGCTGTAGGTAACCTTCACAAACTGATAATGGTCAGACGCGTAACATGTATGCAAAATATTTATTACAATACTTGTTTACTTCACAAACCCGTGCCTTCCTCCGTAGTCTTCTCCCATTGTGTAGTAACTCTCCTCATGGTGCGGTGAGCGTGGAACGGCCCCGTTACTTACCTTCAGATAGTAGCCGACATTTGCACCTTACCTAAGTCGTTGTAGGCCGGCAGCCGTCTAGACCGTCATGGATGACCAGGAAGTCGTTGCAGGCGTAGAGGATACCCTGCAGGCGCGGTTAGATGACATTAGGGCACGCCACGCAGCTGGCGAGTACGGCGGAGCGAACTTGGACGTTCTGCTCTTTGGAACCCGCGTGCAGTGGGCGCGCGATCACCCAACGATCCGTACTGGGGCGGATGGACTGCCCGCCACTCCCCGACCGGCACGCAACGAAGGTGGCGTCGACGACCAGGTCGACGGCGGTGACCAAGTCGGCCGCGATGAGGGCACGCGGAGGATGAGTGGAGTGATCAGGGCCGCCGACGACGGGGTCGGCGGAATACATCCGCGAGCGCAGCGGTTGGCGGCGGCCGCGGGCAGCTCGCATGGCGACGTTGATGGTCGACGCCGCTCCCCGCAGAGAAGTGGAGTGAGGCCGAGCTCCTCTACGCACGTGACAGCCGGTGGAATTGCACCCGCCTACGGCTATTTCAAGTTTTTGCCGGACAAGATCGCGGTACCTATACCGTTGGAAGGTGTCACAGGATCGAATTCTCAATCGAAACGTGTCACTAAAATGGAATACAAGGCGTTTTTATACTCGGAAATTACAAGGATAAACGAGATAAAACGAACATTCGGGAACACGCCCTTCCCGATACTACAATCACAAGTGCGCACAATGTCAGAGGTCCACTGGTGATCCCCGATTGATCCTAGGGAAGGGTTACAGGCATGGCGGCCTGGGGGGTTATGGGCGCACTCACCCGCTACACAAACAAGCCCTTTTATCCCAGTGGTTAGTGGCTGGGATTCTGACATGGTATCAGAGCGAAGGTCTCGGGTTCGAATCTCGGTGTGTGCACCTCGGGCATCCCAGTGCGGGGGGGTGTCAGAGGTCCACTGGTGATCCCCAATTGATCCTAGGGAAGGGTTACAGGCATGGCGGCCTGGGGGGTTATGGGCGCACTCACCCGCTACACAAACAAGCCCTTTTATCCCAGTGGTTAGTGGCTGGGATTCTGACACACAAGCACGCAAGGCTATTGGCACTTGGGATTACGCCCAGATTACACCGTATACACCACTGTCGGCGCTGTCGGTGCCGTATAATAAATATGTCGGTGGGAAAAATAGGAAATAAGTGAAATAAAGAGAAGGCTCTAGAAAATAGAATAGTAGGCCGATTGAGATGAAATAAAGACCAAAATAAAGAGGAGAAAAAGGAGAATAAGATAAAGGAAAAATATAATAATAAGAAAATATTATAACGGGGACGTCCTCTCACACTTCCCCCCCTCAAAGCTGGGTGGTAGAAGTAACACCCTGCTTGACAAGGTAGTCCTGGAGAGGACGACGGGCGTTATCCATGTCGCGTTCAGGTACCTCACTATCCTCGGAAGGATCATAGCCTTTCCAACGAATCAAGAGCTCCAAGGTGCCGTTACGTCGTCGTCGATGCGCCAGAACAGCTTCGACTTCGTACTCAGGTTCCCCATTAACGATCACTGGCGGTGGCGGCGGCGGTTGGCGACCTTTGAAGACCGTGTTTGGGTCCCGATATGGCTTGAGAAGTTGAACATGGAAGGCATTGTGAATCTTCCAAGTAGCTGGTAAACGCAAGCGGAAGGTTACTGGAGTGACCTGCGCCTCGACGAGAAAAGGTCCGCAGAAGCGAGGCCGGAGCTTAGTTGGAAGATGGCTGATGTCGAGATTGCGTGTATCCAGAAGCACTTGATCGCCGATCTTGATTGAATGATCGTTGCGACTCCGATCGTCAAGCGAGCTTCTTCTGTTGCTGCTGGATAGTTAAAAGTCGTTTATGAGTGCGCTCCCACAACTGGTGCATAGTGGTAATGAAGTCATGTGCGGGTTGCACCGTGGCGGGTACTGTCGGTTTCTGAGGCGTGAGTGGATTGCGACCGTAACAGAGAAAGAAAGGGGTCTGTCCTGTTGCGGCGTGTGTAGCGTTGTTGTACGCAAACTCGAGAACCGGCAGGTGCGCATCCCATTTGGAGATATCGTCTTTACATGCTGCTCGCAGAAGCTGTTCAACAATCTGGTTGAGGCGCTCCGTTTGACCGTCTGTTTGGGGATGATAAGCTGATGACATGGCTAGTTTGGTCCCCATGAGCGACATGAGCTCCTTCCAGAATTTGCTTGTAAATTTTGGATCTCTGTCGGAGATCAGCGTGGTCGGAATGCCATGCTGCGAGATGACGTAGCGGAAGAATAATTGAGCTGTCTCCTCCGTGCGAGCTGTCGTGTGTGTCGGGATGAAGTGTCCCATTTTTGAGAATTTATCGATGACAACTAGGATGGCATCGTACCCAGCTTTGGTAGGTGGTAACCCGGTAATGAAGTCCAAGCTAACCACTTGCCAAGGCTGTTCAGGGACTGGAAGAGGCTGGAGTAATCCTGCTTTCTTCTGTTTGCTGCTCTTCATCCGTTGGCATGTGTCGCACGAGGTGACGAATTTTTGTACGTCATCCGCCATGTGGGGCCAATAATAATGCTTCGCAATACCGGCAAGCGTCTTGTTACTACCGAAGTGGCCCGCGTACAAAACGTCGTGATATTCTTCGAGTAGTAGCTGACGTAAAGGAGGGTAATTAGGTACCCATATTTTTGTGGATCCCTTGCGGTATGCGATGTCTTGATCCCAGTGCAGAAGATGGCGCTTTTCTGCTATAGAAACTTCAGGGTCTATAGTGTATCCATGCGTGAAGAGTCCCTTCAAGAGTGGGTTCATGCCATCGACTTGTAGGGCGGCAACGTGTGCAGGGCGACTGAGTGCGTCTGCTTTGTTCTTGTGCCCCGGCTTATACACGATCTCGTAATGGAAGTGAGTTTCAAGGAAGTCAATCCACCGGACCTGCCGCCTGGAGAGTGATGGTTGAGTTTTCAGATATTTCAGGCTGCAGTGGTCGGTGTAGACGGTCGTCTTTCTTCCTTCGAGATAGCACCTCCATGCCTTGAACGCGTTGACGATGGCGAGGGCCTCTTTGTCATGGATGGGGTAATTGAGTTCCGCCCCATGAAGTTTTTTACTAAGGTATGCAATGGGTTGCAGTCCCTTCCCTTGATCTTGCATGAGCACTGCCCCCACTGCTTGATCGCTAGCATCGGCCTCGATAACATAGTCAAGGTCGGGGTCTGACAAGATAAGGACAGGTGCGGACGTGAGTGCGGATTTCAGCTGTTCCACGGATTCCTGGTGTTTCGCCTCCCACTGGAATGGTGTATTCTTCTTCAACAGGTTAGTCAGTGGTGCGGCGATCTTAGCGTAGTTTGGTACGAACCGGTTGTAGTAGTTAGCGAATCCGAGGAACTGCTGCAACTCCTTTACGTTCTCGGGGGTCTTCCACGTTCGCACTGCTTCAATCTTCTTGGGATCCGCGTGAACTCCTTGAGCGCTCACCATATGTCCGAGGAATTGGACCTTTTTCAATGCGAACTCGATTTTAGACAGTTTCACGTAGAAGCGTTCTCGTCGGAGAATTTCGAAGACGCGTCGCAGATGCTCAACGTGCTGCTTCATGTCCTTCGAGTAAATCAGGATGTCGTCCAAGTATACCACCACGCACTCGTCCAGAAGAGGCCGAAGGATGTGGTTCATCTCCGCCTGAAACGTTGCTGGTGCGTTGGTGAGTCCGAACGGCATCACGAGATACTCGTACGACCCGTACCGAGTTCGGAAGGCAGTTTTATGGATGGAGTTGTCCGCCATTCGAATTTGCCAGTATCCCGATCTGAGGTCGAGCTTAGAAAACACCGTATCACCGCGGAGTTGATCAAGCAAGTCGTCAATCCGTGGTATTGGGTATTTATTTTTTATGGTCTGTTTGTTAAGTGCACGGTAGTCGATGCACATTCGCAGACTTCCGTCGGGCTTCGGGGTGAAGAGAACTGGAGCTCCGTACGGCGAAGTAGAAGGTCGAATCAGCCCTTTCTCCAGGAGATACTCGATTTGTTTTTTCATATCGGCAAGCTCCGTCGGACTCAGCCGGTATGGTGCTCGGAACGTCGGTTTGGATCCCGGCTCTTCCACGATCTCGTGTTGATGTGTTCGATATGGCGGTAGTTGATCGGGTAGATCGTCGGGGAGAACGTCCTGGAACTCTTAAAAATTTTTCTTTATTGCTGAAGGAAGTTCCTGGGTCTGGTTCTCTCCGTTGTTTGCTTCGCTAACTATCGCCATAAATCCCGCCGTGGTCCGTTTGACGTCCTTCTCAAAGCGTGCGAGTGTCTCGACTGGAATATTCCCCGTGTCGTCCCAGTTGGGAAGGCTGATTTTTCGTCCATTGTTATCGATGTTGGCCGTCCGGTTAACCCAGTTGATCTCGGGGTTGAATTTTTTTAGAAAGTCTCTCCCGAAGATTATGTCGAGTCCTTTAATATTTGTGATGGGGAAGGCAGGCTTTCATCGCAGGGGTCCAATCTGTAGTAGTAACCGTGTTTCCCCGTAGATCGGTAGCTTACTGCCGTCCACCATCGTTGCCGAGAAGCTTGAGGACTTGATTTCACCTCCGAGATGATCGATTGCCTTTTTGTCGTAGACGCTGTGCGATGCTCCGCCGAAGCAGGAAAGTTCATGCTCGAGAGAAGCTGCGTAACACGCTGCAGTTCATTTCGCAGCTGCTCGTTCTCCAATCGCGACTGCTCCGTCGTAGCTCGCATCTCCGCTTCCATTTTGGCGATTTGCGCGAAGAGCTGCTGCGTAACGTCGTTACTCACCGGCGAACCCATCCTGTTCAAAAAACCACGCGAGGGGGTTAATTCGAAATCGCGGAACTGGTGCTTACCAGAAATCGGCGTCGAATTGGTCGCCCCCGGCGGTTTTTCGAGGCGATTTTTTCCGCGACCGCTGCTTAGCCGAGAGTTGTCGAGTGAGAACGGCTCTGATTACCAAGTGTCACAGGATCGAATTCTCAGTCGAAACGTGTCACTAAAATGGAATACAAGGCGTTTTCATACTCGGAAATTACAAGGATAAACGAGATAAAACGAACATTCGGGAACATTCCCTTCCCGATACTACAATCACAAGTGCGCACAAGCACGCAAGGCTATTGGCACTTGGGATTACGCCCAGATTACACCGTATACACCACTGTCGGCGCTGTCGGTGCCGTATAATAAATATGTCGGTGGGAAAAATAGGAAATAAGTGAAATAAAGAGAAGGCTCTAGAAAATAGAATAGTAGGCCGATTGAGATGAAATAAAGACCAAAATAAAGAGGAGAAAAAGGAGAATAAGATAAAGGAAAAATATAATAATGAGAAAATATTATAACGGGGACGTCCTCTCACAGAAGGTGGACGGGACCTCATCACGTGGAGGGAGTCGATCGAGCCCCAGCTGGAAGTTGCGGGGCTGAAATGTTTCACCGACGGTGAAGTGGTGACGCCGGAAGAGGACGACGTCGAGCTACGGGCAGAATTCCGCACGGCTCATCTACTGACCTTCATGGTCATCTCGCGCTGCTGTTCGCTGATTGTGCAGATCGCTCTGAAGCCGTGTCGGCTTCGACTAGATGCCGGCCACCAGGCGTGGTGGTTCATCTTGTCTACGTACCAGGCGACTGACGATCTATACATCGGCCAGCTGGAGGAGCGCTTGACCCACCTCAGGATGGGGAAGCATGAGTCGGCGACCGATTTTTGCAACCGCGCTCGACGGATCCTCGCCGACATGCGGATGGCGGGCGTCGACTACTCGACGACATCCTACATCACGCACGTCGTCAAGGGATTGCCGAGCGGGTATAATCTGATCCTGCGGATGATGGCGATGACCGGCGTGCGCGAGACGCTCAACGAGGATACCCTTACGAGCTACATCATCAAGGATGGGGCTAAGCAGGAGGTCGAGAGGCCCACAGAGCTCCTTCCGCAAGCGAAATACGTCGCCCCAGCGAAGCAGAATCGTCAGTAAGGGCAACGCGAGAAGCAGATCGGAGGTGGTAGCGGAGGTGGAAAATCGGCGAAGAACGCCGAGCGGTCGAAGTCAGCTCGGGACAACGGTCGAGGCGGAGGCGGTCGACGGCGGAAATGCTGGCTATGCGACGACCCCGACCACCTCTCCTTCGAGTGCCCCAACCGCGACGAGAGCGACGGCGACAACAAGGGAGGCCGCGGGAAGTCCGACGGCAGTCGTCGACGCCGAGACAACAAGCCGCGCAAGGAGAAGCCCTCGTCGAAATCGACGTCGTTGACGAATGATGCTGACTCCTCTACCGACAAAGGTCGAGGCGACGGGGAGGCGTCGTGCTCGCTGGTCGGAGTTGTAGAGTCGACCATCTCTCTGGCGCCGGAGGCCAAGGAGGACTTCAAGGCGATCGCGGCAGCGGTGCAGGCAAACCCGACGGTGGTGCTCCTCGATAGCGGTTGTTCCCGCCATCCGATGGGAACGAAGGAAGCGTTCGACGAGATGAAGCCCGAAGGCGACGTCAAGCATGTGCGTGGCTTCAATGGGGCATTTCAGAACGTCGAGGGCCGTGGCACCGTGGCTCTGCGAGGGGAGATTGGGAAGCCGATTCTCGTTCCCAATGTGCTCTATGTTCCGGGCGTGCATGCTAACCTGTTGTCGGCCGGCCAGCTGCTGGAAAATGGTGTGAAGTTGCAGCATGTTGGCGACGAAATGCTGCTCGTCTCGGCGGCGGGGGACATGCTTGGTCGGGTGAAGTATACCGGCCGGATTCTCTGCACCGACCTTCGCCCTTGCTCGACGGAGTCAATGTCGGCCCCGGCAGAGGTGGTGGCTCTGCGGACGATCGCCTCGGCGACAAAGACTACGCCGGACATGTGGCACGCAAGGCTAGTGCACGTCGGCGTCGACACGATCAAGAGCTCGGCGAAGCACGAAGTCGCCGTTGGTCTAGACATCAAGCAGTCGACCGCGGCGAATCTGCCGTGTGCTTCCTGTGTCGGAGGCAAGCTGGCACGGCATACCTTCCCCGACCAAGGATCGGACGCCAAGAATGCTCTCGACGTGGTGCACATCGACCTCTGCGGGCCGTTTCGAGTGGCCGCCAACGATGGCAGCCTCTACTTTCTGCTTCTGAAGGACAGGAAGACTCGCTATGTGTGGGTTCGGCCGATCGCGAAGAAGAGCGATGCGCTTGTCGTCTTCGAAAAGTGGCTGAAACTGGTAGAGAGGCAGATGTCGACGACGGTGAAAATGCTGCGTTCTGACCGCGGAGGGGAGTTCCTCGGTCGCGCCTTAACTGACCTCGTCGAAGACAAAGGCATCCTCCACAATTTGACGTGCCCCTATACCCTGCAGCAGAACGGGATGGCAGAGCGGGAGATGCGTACGGTCGTGGAGACTGTGCGGACGATGCTGCTTCACATGGGCGTGAAGCACCACTGGTGGCATCTTGCTCTGCGGCAGGCCGTCTGGGTGCGCAACTGCCTCGAACGGGCTTCTCTACCGACGGGGACGACGCCGCACGAGCTGCTGTTTGGGGAGAAACCGGACCTGACGCTGGCGCGCGTGTGGGGCTGCATGGTGCAGTTCATGGTCCCCGAGCAGCAGCGCGGCGGGAAGCTGGCGCCGAAAACCCGGTGGGGCCTTCATCTCGGTGTCTCGCCGGAGAGCAAGGTGCTCGACCTCACCGACAACAAGGTGGTGACGACCGTAGAGGCGATCTTCTACGAAGCGATGTCGCTAGAGGAGTTGAAGGCAGAGCACGGCCCCGTTTCGACGAGGAAATCTGCTGTCGCGCCGAAAGATTCCTCGTCGACGACGGCCCCTTTACTTGCCGTCGACGATGACGATGTCGAGGACGTCCCTCCTCCCTCTGCGCCCACTTCTTCCACCCCTCTGCCCTTGATGCTGATCTAACGCAGACGGAGTCGCCGTCGGCCATCGGCGATGAGGGGAGAACTGCTGCGTCGCCTTCAGCGCCGACCAGTGGCATCGCCGGCGGCCGACGTGACGAAATGCCGCTCGACAGCCAAGTGCAGAAGCTGTAGCTGACAGGGGAGTGCAGGGCAGCGGAGTTGGCAGAAGAGCCGATGGTAGTGGAGAAGTCTGCGAAGCTGGTAGAGACGAATTTGGTAGGGGAGTCGGCAGAGGCGAAGTCGGCAGAGGAGCCGACTGCAGAGAACCAGCTCGACGATGGCGCGTCGAGCGATGTCGTAGAAATCCTTGGTGGCGAGGAAGGGGAGCTATCGGCAGGGGAGCAGTCCGACGACAGCGACGTGGTGGAGGTCCTGGTCGACGAAGCGAAGCTATGGCGCTCTACCCGCTCCAACTTTGGCAAGCCTGCAGAGAAGTTGGGCTACCGCTTGACTACTGCCGACTCCCTACAGCACGCTCCTCGACGACGCGGACGCCGACATCGACCTGCCCGAGCTCGACCCCGATATGCACGCCAATCCGGAGCATCGATGGGACATTGCGAGCATGACGGTGAAGGAGGCATTGGCGAGCTGGAAGGGGAAGGCGGTGAAGGCCGCCATGGACGAGGAAATCAAGAGCCTCATCTCCAACGGGACGTGGGAGCTGATCAAGCGTCCACGCGGTGTCAACATTATGAAGAACCGCTAGGTGCTTATGACAAAGTACCACGTCGACGATACGGTCGCCCGGGAGAAGGCCCGTCTAGTTGTGAAAGGCTTCACGCAGGTATACGGCGCCGACTACGACGAGACGTATGCGCCGGTGGGAAGCTACGTAACTCTACAAATTTTCCTCAGCATCGTAGCCGTCCTCGACCTGCACCTCAAGCAGCTCGACATGAAGAACGCGTTCCTGCAGAGAAAGTTGGATCGCGTTCTCTACATGTACCAGCCGGACTACTATAACGATGGGACCGGCTGGGTGTGCAAGCTGCTGAAGAGCCTCTACGGGCTGAAGCAGAGTCCGCTGCTGTGGTACTCTGCGCTCGACGCTGTGCTGACCGGCGCTGATTGGCAGAAGAGCCACGTCGACGAGGCTCTCTACTCCAAGGCCGGTGATGGCGGAGTGATGTGCTGGGTACTCGTCTATGTCGATGACCTGCTCGCCGCAAGCAGCAGCCTCGCTATGCTGAAGGAGCTGAAGCAGCTGCTGGAGGCCGCCTTCGAGCTGCGCGAGATCAAGCCGGTCGAGAAGTACCTCGGGCTGGAAATTGTGTGCGACCGACCTGCGCGGAAATTGTGGCTTCACCAACAAGTCTACGTCGACAAGCTGCGTCGGCGTTTCATCGACGAGGAGCAGACCGGGCGAGTGCCGAAGACGCCGGTCTCCGTCGACGCCTACGCAGAGCTGACTTTCGACGACGAGGACGCACAGTCGTGCGAAGAGGAGGAGTATCGGCAGAAGGTCGGCTCGCTGCAGTTCGCGGCAACGACGACGAGGCCGGACATTGCCTTCGCCTGCAGCAAGCTGGGGAGCAGCCTGACGGTGCGAAGTGACAACCACTGGCGCGAGGTCGACCGTTGTCTGCACTACCTCGCCGATACCCGTGACGCCGCTCTGGAGTTCGGCGGTGGACCAAAGTCGC